TGGAAGCATTCAAGACCAGGTTGGATGGGGCTCTGAGCAACCTGATTGAGTTAGCGGTGTCCCTGCTCACTGCAGGGGGGTTGGACTAGATGACCTCTAGGGGTCCCTTCCAACCCAAAACATTCTATGATTCTATGATTCAAATATACCTTAATGGCATGGTTAAGGGATGGGAGCATCTGTCCTATGAGGACAGGCTGAGAGCTGGGACTCTTCAGCCTTGAGAGAGACAGCTCCTATCACAGTGTGCCTGACGGGAGGGAGTAAAGATGATAGAGCCAGGCTTCTCAGTGGTGCCCGGTGACAGGAGAACAGGCAACGGCACATACTGAGATACCAGAAACTTAATTTAAATGTCAGAAGAAAAATAAACTAATTTTTTTTTTTTTTTGTGAGGGTGACTGAGCACTGGAGCAGGTTGCCTAGAGAGGTCTCCATCACTGGACATACTCAAAACCTACCCAGACCTGGCCCTGAGGCACCAGCCCGTGCTGATCCTGTTTTGAGCAGGGCTTTGGACAAGGCAGTCTCCTCCAGAGCTCCCTTCCAGCCTCAGCAATTCTGCGAGTCTCTTTGCACCTGCAAGCACATACATTTCTGCATCATTTTACACAAGAGTTTGTTTTACTCTTGAAATGACAAATAAATTCACAGCACTTCAGAAAATAATAAAAGTGTAAATTCTGTGAAAACAAACGAACAGCCACTGATTCTGAGTAACAAACAACTCTCAACGTTTTAAAAAAGTTATCACATCGGAAACACAGCTCGCTCTCCTACTTCTTCTGTAAGACACAACCACAGATTTAATTTAATGCAAGATTCCATTCTTGGAAAAACAAGACCATAAATGGAAAGCATATGCATTTGATGTTTCCTGAATATAATATTAGGGGACGCTAAATTCTAAATACGATTTACCCCTTTCTCATTTATTTTAATCTACCGCTAGTTACAGTGGTTAATTGTATTATTTACTGATGTTAGACATCTGTTTAAATCTGGCTCCATAGAGGAAGAAGTGGCTTTTTCCAAGAGGCATCGGTATCAGCAGCTTGTTGAAAGATATTTTGTATTAGAAACCGCAGGCAATGGTTCAGAGAATACGCGAGCACAAGACTGAGCAGAACCAGGAGAGAAGCCTACGCCAGCGCACCCCAACCCCTGCCAAACCAGAGCCTGAGGAGGGTAACGCGCTGCCACACCGGCGACTCCATCCCGGGTGTTTCAGGGAGGATGAGGCGAGGTCCTGCCAGGCAACCACCAGTCACCACGCTGCCCCAGCACAGGG